AGAGGTATGACAACATTTTCAGTTGGGCCATTTCAGCATTTGGACCACCTTGACTTCAGCCAAAACAAAAACTAAACTAAATGGATTACCAGCAGGTACAGAAAAACTCCTGGGAAAACGTACAGACTGAGACACACAGCTTCTCTGCTGCAGGAGTCAGGAATGTAACCTCCACACGCAGGCACCCACTTTAACAAACAGAACACAAGTCTAACAGCGCTTCATGTGTGTTAAGACTGCAGACTAAATTCAATCCTTCTAGGACTGGAGATACACAATTCCAGCCCAGGGACAAGCTACATTTCTTAGAAATTATACTGACTGCATGATTCCTTAGAAATCATACTAACATTTACCACCCAGTGACACTGTTAGCCAGGCCTTTCATGTGCAGTGGACTGTAAGAAAAGAAACAGTCTAAAATTGAAGGAATTACAAGCATAGCACAGCAAATCTCAGTACAGTGCAGGACATTTTAAAATGCCGAAGAAATTCCAATCACTTCCTTCCTAAAGACACACGATAATCTTCAGCCCATAGGAAGAAAATAATGAAGTTGGGCCACAGAAGCACATTAGGCGGCGCCGAATTAATGACTCTAGAAGACTAAAGGCTTCTAGAAATACGACCAAAATGTAACAGGTCTGCCACAGAAACAAGCAGCTAATGATTCCAGCAAAGCCTCTTGTGGACACGGCAGAACATGGGTAATAACGCAAATGTTCTGGAGGGTTATTTTTTCAGTAAGAGCTTTAAAAAGCAAATATTCCAAACTCTTTGCAGGAAATACATAGGTGTTCTGTAGCACTGAATGTCAGAAACCTGACAAGTGCAAAGAATCACCAGGGTAAATTCAGTAGCACTTTTGGTAGATGTCATGTATCTAAATACATTACACAAACCCAACACCCAGAAATGCATAGGGCACCACCATCTTTCTAATGCCAAACAAACAAACTTAATGAAAATTTATTTGTATGTAATTAAAAAAAAAAGGCACTAACTGCTAGATTATTGTTCATTTAAAAAAGAGTAATCTGACTGTCCTTAATGGGAGAAAAAAAAAAAAAGATGTGTGTTCCTGCTGCTAAGACACTTGTTCTATGTGATAACGGCTGACCAGCCAGAACTGCTGACATTATTAAGATGTGCAGTTGCTTCTGACCTATAACTCTGTGTTCACATAGAAGCACTGCATCTCTGATTTCAGCTGAAACATCAAAACGCGCCCCCACCAGATCCCATATTCAAGGGACTTCCAATCCGCAAAGGATAAGCTCAGCTAAGTGGCCCATGTCTTAGCTCAAGCTAATTCCCAGATTTATTGGTGGAGTAAATATATAGGAAAAAAAGGTGTAAAAATATGCAGCAGCACAAGAGATGATGTAGTAGCCCCTCTGTTCACTTTGATGCTTTATCTTTCTCTGACCTAGATGGCTAAAACCAGCTGTGGGATCTAGAAGAGCTGGGTGAATGAGTGTGGAGCGCCATAATGCGCAGCACAGGCTGGGCTCATAAAAACAGCAATCCCCTAGAAAAGGCCATAGCCAAGTGGAGTTTGGGCTGGTGAAAAATGGTCTACTTGGGGGGATAGGAAAGGAGAGCAAAACCCAGATCACTCCAAGGTTTTCTTCTCTTCCTCGGCTGTGTTTCTTGGGACTTCTTGTGATAGAAGGATGTTTTTATGGGAAGAGGTGGCCATTCCACAAGTGCTTGCAAAACTCTATGCTCAGTGCAGCACAGGTCAAGCCTCTAAGTGCCAAGCAAACATCTACTGACAGCCAGGACAGGAGGCTGCTTTACAGATATCTCATCAAAAGAGGTCTCTACTCACACTGCTCACAAGAACACCATCGGCTTAGCCAAGTAACTTTTAAATTCAACTAAGACTTACCTCCCAGCATTTACATGTACTTCTCTAATCAGCTCCTAAATCCATAATGAATTTTTGATCGAGAGGGCACATGGCCTCTTCTAGGACTTTCACATAAGACGAATAACCCCTGAGCCCCTGAGCTCAGCTGCTGTGTCAATATAAATTCAAAACATTCTCTTGATGGCCAGTCCTTCTTAGATTCAGTAGGCTAGGGCAAAAGATTGGGCAAAACTTATTTCCTTCCTTATATTTTCGCAATTATTTTTAAACTCTGTGGACTGAATTCGGAGTGCCATAGGCAAGCCTACAGCAAGGAAGATGATGTTACAGAGATCTCAGGGATGAGACCCTCAAGGTCCTGACTATCTGCCTCAAAAATAAGACTTTGCAAACAATTTGAAGGGGAATGATGGGAAAGGCACAGCTGTGCAATCAAAGGAAAAAAAATGCAGAAGTACATGGCTCTGGGGAAACAATACCAAATTCTGGGGTAACATTGCCAAGCACAGTGCAGAACAAACCCAGTTCCAGACTATGCTGAAGAAATTCCAGTATATCTGCAAACCAGGGGTAAGAACTGTCTCTACTCTCGTATATCTCTGAGCAGGTCAGCAAAATATGTAGCTTTCCAGAGTATGAGCATGTAGAGCTTACCAGCTAATGCTTTGAGATTCAACCATTTGGTAATCATGCTCCTCACCTCTGAACACAAACTAAGGTTTGAGAAACAATGCCCAGCAGATTCTCTGTGAACTAGAATGCGTTTCCCGCCCCCCGCAATAAGATTACCAGATCTGTGTGACACCCTGTTTCCTCTCATCCACAGGCAGCAGCCTCCCTGATTTGGAGGTCTTCTCCAAGACATGCCTCCCACAAGCAGAGGCAAAGTCCACAAATACCAGCAAACACCAAGTCCTGTTTAGTTGTTCTGAATATGATGAAACACATCTTGTGGCTTTGAGGAAGTTGCAGCTACACATAACAACTCGTCGCTGGTTTTTAGACCTGCACACAAACACCCCAGGATTGTAACCTGCCTTTTGCATGTTCAATAGCAGCCTGCTCTGCTAGGATAGAAAGGCAGTGACAACACTCTGAGCATGGCCAAGCATTAAAAGGGGTGCCCAGAGAGGCTGTAGGATTTCCATCCTTGGCATTCAGTCAGAATTTGAAAATGAAGGCCCTGAGCAAGCGAATCTGATTGGACCTGTTTTGAAAGAGGGTGTGAATAAAATAACATGTAATAATCACTTCCAACCAAAATTATTCTATGATTCAAAGGAAAGCATTTCTTCTGATTCTTTCCTCTTGCTGCTCTTGAACTACGCTATTTTACTAACTATGGACCATAGAGTGGTCTCAACTGATATATCTTTGAAGAGAAATTTAAACAGAACAATCTGACTACCAGGTCTGCTGAAAAACCTTCTTTCCCTGGTGCTATGAGGTTACTGAATTACAACTCTGTCCTTTTACCTGCTGGCACCAGAGTTTTGTCACATGACACACAAAGATCAGCCAGTCTGTAAGGACATGGGCGGACTTTTATTATCAAAGGACTTTTATCACCAAAAAAAAAACTAGTTTTGGATACTAATCCTCTCTAGCTGTAACAGGAAGTCATCACGAAACTTTACTGACTCATTGGTGAGCGAGTTCATGCTGCTGTTCTGAGATTCATCTTTGGGACTACAGTTAAAATCTAGTTGCGTATTCCAGAATACAAGATATAAGTGAAAACTTATAGCACACACAAATCTCCAAACTGCAGTGAGAGAATTGCATATAAATATGGTGTAGTAGGGTTTACCTAGGTACAGCTGTACAGGCTTTTTCATGCATTTGGCCAACTCCTTGGTAAAATTCTGATCTCATTTATCTTTTCTTATCTTTCTTATCTTATCTTTTATCTTTATCTGCAGAGGCTAAACAATCTACATTTAAATGCTAGCAAATTCAGATCTTTCCATATGAAGCAACATCTTTTTCTTTTTTTTTTAATGTCAGAAAAGAACATGAGTTCTCACAGAACCAGCCTTTGATTTCCAGATTTCTTTCTCTCCCCTGTTCTACTCTGAAGTCTTCTGTACGTGAAAAATAAACCGGTTTCATCTGCAATCTACACATTCTGGCAGAAAAAAAAAAAATCTATCTATGTGTCTATCTCCAGCCCAATACCTGGCTTAGGTATTACAAGGCAAAGAAAGGACAGAGTCTTCTGCTGGCAGTATTTTTTTACCCTCCAAGGGTGATGGTGACAGATTGGTGGTATCAGCTCTGTAAGTATTAAGAGCTTCCTAGAAATAAGAGGAATTCAAGAGCTACAAACTATTCCAGATCTGCTGCTTTTTTGCAAGGCCTCATGCTGGGCTAAAACTGGAAGGCCTTGGGTGTGGGGGGAAAAAAAAAAAAAAGAGAAAACTAGGAGGAGTTTTCAAAGGAGCCCTTCCTTCTGGCTGAGACACTCCCGCAATTATCTTTCATTCCTCCCTGCTCTCTTCCCCTCACAGTGGCACAACTCAGCAGCCCAGATACATCAAGTGAAACCTGCCAGGTACCCATAGGTTCCTCCTGAAGACCAGAGGCTGGTAGGAAGCTGCTGCCTCTAGAAGTACTGCACGCAGAACAACCCCTGTCTGCTGGCTGGAGGCCCCAGACACACAGACGAGGGATGAATGGGAAGATTTGAGGGACTGAACAGTCCCACTCTGCGATGCGTGCCCCTTCTCCACATGAATTTTGGTCCTTTTATTTTTCCCTCTATCAGTAGCATGCTTTTTTTGTTTACTTTGTTTCTACCTCGCACCTCGGCAATTCTTCCACTACAGGTTTTTTGCTCAGCCGCTTTTCAGTACAATGTAGCAGCTACAGACACAATAAGCAGATGCCACTGGAGTAAATGAAACTACATTCCTAGCCTTGAGGCCCAGCATGCTGTTTTCTGTCAACGCTTCTCATCCTGTGAGCCTCCACAGCAAAGGAAGAACAATATATATATACAATCAGCTATATTCCTGTGAAGAGTATTCCCCATTAGCTAATAAAATTCCAACTGAAAAAGCAAAGCAATCTCTCTCTGAAATTGTCATTGAATAACAAAATTAATCTAGACAGCATCACTTACCAGAATTTTGCCTTCAAACAGAGTAAGATTACATTCACCACATTTCCTCAAAAATAGCTCAAGAACTGGCCCTGTAAAAAGAAGAGAAAAATAAATATTTAGTCTCTAGAATACCACAAATTAGATAACACTTCTCACTATGCTAACATATATCACCGACATTCCACTATTTTCACTGTCTTAGTGAGGAATGAGGAAATTGGATTTAATCCTTTGCACTAATTATTAAAATCCACCAACATTACGCAAAATACGTGAATAACCCCAGGATTCCTTCAGGCCACTCAGACCCGTCATTGCCATCGACGCGAGAGCTACTCAGAGGGCAGCACCACAAGGTCAGCATGAAACAAGCAGCAGCGACAACATGAGCGTGCCAATTATTTTCGATCCAGCCCTGAAAAACTGGTCGACCCAATATCACCTAGTGATTTTGCTTTGCCATTTTAATACGATCATACACGTGATGTTCTGAACAGCCTCCTTGTTTGAAAACTATACATAAAAGAAAAAAAAAAAGAGAGAGTTTTGTACCACATTACGATTTTAGAATATATTAACTGTCCCCTCCACTGTTTAGAAAAACATAGAGGTAAAGCAGCTAAGTAAAAGCAATATCCAGCCTGACACACATTAGGGCCAGTTTGGACAATATGGAGAGCAGAAGTGACAAATGCCGTCATTTCGCCAGCCTTGACTAAATGTCAGATGACAGCACTGCCTTATTTTCCCCTGAGGCAAAATTTTTGGGAAAAAAAAAAAGAAGGTCCATGGAGCACAGACTAACAATGATGTTAAAGCATTTCTTTTTTAAACCCCTGAAAGAGGGAGGGACTGTGATTTTGCTGCTGTTCAGGCCTGGGAATGCAGAGAGTCCAGTAATGGGGGAAGGAAACACATTTCAGTGTCCTCATGCCCAAGCTAGTGAAGCTGCACAGAACTGGAACTGTTGTAGAAACAGAAAAAAGCCCCTGTCCTGCCCACTCCCTGAGTATCTAGATGATTTTTCCATAGAATTAATGCTGAATGCCTAACTTTAGGCTGATACCCGAACGACTGGGCAGCCTGCACTGCTGATGGAGACAGTATCTCAGTGATGGAGCAGCAGGTTTTCGCACTGGTCCCTTTCGCGAAGGATGCTCAGAGCGCTTGCACAGAAGGAAGGAGGAGCAGATTTTCAGATCGAATTATTTTTCCTGATTATGGCTACATGAAAAGTAGCTGTGAAAATAAAATTTACATTACGAAATAGGTAAATAAGCCCTCTTTACATGGTAGCAAGTAGATTATATTGTTCTAAATGCTGATTAAAAAGCAGACCTGCAGTTTCGTAAGGCTAAAACTGATTGTTTTGGGTGGAGAGTTTGGGGCAGGGGGGAAAGGAAAAGAATTATGAAAAAAGGAAAAATCAGACGTTGTTGGGAAACATTATAGGAACAGATTTTTTTAAAATCACAAAACTACAAAAGAAAATGTCTTTCTCCCTGCTTGCTTTCTTGGTTTAGTGGTTGATAAAACAAAACAAAATGAACATATTAGAGGAAAAAAAGGAAGAAAAAAAGCCAAATACCCCCACAACCCCTCCTCCTGTGATATCTATTGCACAGCAGAATCTGTGAAAACACTGAAAAAATACAGGGCTTGAACTGCTTTGCTCAGGCTCGGGGAAGGTGGTTGTTATTCCAGTCCCATCCATTTCCCTCCCTGGCTTCCAGGCATTTGGCCTGGAAAGCAAAACCAAGTCAGGAAAATCTACTTCTGCCTCCGAGCTACTGGGATAACATCTGCACACAGACAAGTGCGAAGACAGCTACAAAACAGCGCTCAGCCTCGCATTAGCTCATTATTTTCTTTTACACCAAGAGATGGGTTTAATAATCCCCTCCAAGGAGTGATAAATGAGGTAAACTGCGATGCTGCTGGTCCCACAAAGGTGCCAGACACTGGCACAGGTTCCACAAGTGGCAGAGCCACCATCGCCCCTGCAAGTGCCCAGCCTTGGGTCTCGCCCCACAAAGCAGCACCGCGAAGGCACTTGGATTCAAACCAAATGGGCTGGGAAGCCCTGTCTGCCTTTACCTGGATGCATTCCCTAACCTTGCCACCCGTTTGATTTATTACAATAATTACAAAAGCAACCAAAATTGGCTCAGCTCAAAGTCCCTCTTCATTTACTGTGTTAGCCTCCTCTCCTGTGTTTCCAAAGTCAGCAAAGCTTTCTGAAGAGTGCTAGGAATTGGTGAAACAGGGCTGGCTGAGGGCATAACCATACACGGCACCAGCACCTCCTGTTTCACTGTGTTTCCTGCTTCCCAAGGCAAGCCCTGGTTCACCTGCATCAGTTTCCGGGCTGTTTTTATTTTCAGTTTGCACCAGGATGATAATCAAGTCCATCCCTCCTACTGGAGGAAAGAAGTTACTCACAACAGACATCAATTACTTCTCAGGACTACAACCCAAATCCATTAACGCTTGCTGACCTCAAGGATCATCTTTGGATCAAATCAGTGGTGAGCAATCTTCGACAAAAATCCACAAAATACCTACTTTTACTAAAACAAAAAAATGCTGAGGGACAATTTAGCCATCATTTGAAAAGAAAAACAAGATGATTTCAGACATAAAAAAAAAGTTACACAGTGGATTTTCTCTGATGTACATGGAGCTTGCATGCAAGCTTGGCCCAGCTGGAGGAAAGGGCTACCTGAAGTTGCAAGCAGTCTTTAACATTTTTCAAATGGGTGTTAGAAAATGTAATTCAATTTATCACATGTTCAAACACACAGAAAAAAAGTATATAATGATGAACTGCTGTGGGCTTTCCATTAGTAATGTTCTTCTGTTGCTGTCTTGCCTAAATTAGGACCATACACCCTTGGTCTTTGGGTTGCTGTTTTACTTGGATCAGTTGGGAAGAAGATGGAAACGTGCTTAAGGTTTTTAGGCTGGAGAACTCTTTACAAATGGACATACCCAGATCAGGATGTATGACCTATAAGTGAACAGGATCCACTTTGTAAAGAAAGTGTTGATCAGTCTGCAGAGCAATAGCCTTCCTTTTTTATTATGTTTTAAACATAGTTTGTGCTTATTATTCAACACATCCCATAAAGGGATTTTGTTGGACCATGAACAAGTCCAGAAAGTATTTTTCAGGGGTGAATTACTATGACCCTACAGTAAGAAAGTTTTGAGTCACTCTTCTCAGACACATCAAGGACTCTGCTATCATAGCAGATACTGTCACAGGCATTTGTTCAGTACAGACACTTGCATATTCAGTTGTTTCTAGTGTTGCATTTTCCTCATATTCCCTCCCCCTCTTAAGATTTCTAATCCTATTAAGAATGTTGGAAAAAAAAATCTAAAAGAAAACTGCCTAATAGTCATGTCAATCAGGAGGAGACTAAAAAACCACCCACACAATGAATTTATGTGGCCACTTCACAAAAGAACTGCTCATCTTAAACTTAGCTTACATAAAGCCACCCTTTGCTGCGCAATGCCAGCTTATACAGAAAGACCCCTTATCCTGTGACCATCTGAAAGCTCCCCAACACTGAAACCTTTAAAGTAAAGGAAGCTTATAGGCTTGCTCTTCCACAGGGAGACAGAAGGCTCCCTGTTACCCTGAAACCGCCCTGTGATAAGCGTGAGTT